ATCTACGCGAGCCGACAACAGTCAGCTGCCCTAGTACGCGCTGGTCACCGGTCGCCCAAGCCATGCGGCCACACTCGCGCCGGTCACCGGGGTGGATCCGTGCGAGCCGAGTGCGGTCGCCCACCTGGCCGTGCTTGCGCCGCAGTAGCCTCGTGCCCGTGTTAGAGAGAGAGAGAGAGAGCGGAGAAGTCTGGGAAGAAGTCTGTGGAGAGAGACAGGAGAGAGCGATCAGAGAGAGAGGGGGCACCAGGATTGAGAGTACGCGGACTTAACTGATTTGGAGCGTCGAACTTGAGGTGTGACACCAACCGGGACTAAAGGTCCCTTTCTAGTCCCGGACGGAGCCTCCAGCCGGGAGTAGACTTTTACTCCCGGTTGGAGGGACCAACCGGGAGTAAAAGTTAACCTTTAGTCCCGGTTGGTAGCTCCAACCGGGACTAAAGGTCCCTGCAGCAAAAGCCTGCCGCAGTAGCCGTTGGGCAGAGACCTTTAGTCCCGATTGGAGCTATCAACCGGGACTAAAGGTTTCTCTAGTCCCGGGCGCGAAAAATACTTGGACTAAAGCCAAATTTCGAAGTGGATCAAAAGTCGTTTCTCTACTAGTGTGGGGTCAAACTTGTCTGCATCGTCGATCCACTGAAAGAAAAAGCACCTCTCATAGGCCTACACAACAAAATTCTAACAAAATATTAGTAACCTAGTAATACAAATGAAGAAAAAAACGTATGAAAACAATTACATACATTAAAATGACTGCATGTGTAGAAGCAACGAGCCGCTGTGTCCGGATGTCTCGATTGAAACACGTCGGCCGGACGATCACAGTCATAGTTAGGGACAGAGAGGTCAGGAGGGACGAGGGCATCTTTGCTAGACTCGTCAGGGTACAATTCTTTAGGACGACCCCGTTTTTGCCATAACTGCTCCCGAAACATGTCTTCCATCTAATAAAATGGTTCAAATTAAACATCAATCAAAACAACGCAAATTAATGTAAATATAATCATTTGCATTGCAACTCAAATAATATAACCAACACTTATAGAAACAAAAATATACATGGTAAACATATTTCTAACTAAATAATTAACCTTAACATTGATAAAATCAAACTAATATCTTCCTCCAAACCATAGCCCATAGTTCCCAAACATATTTTTCCTCCTAACCTTAACTCCTATTCATAATATTTCAATCCACCATTCAAACGTAAATAAAAAATGCGTCGTTACCTTGAACGAGGCCGAGGAGGGAGGGAGGCGGCCAGGGAATGGAATGGAAGGGAGGGAGGGAGGCGGCAACAGAGGGCTAGGCGTCGACAGCACTTGGGAGTGGCGGGAGGGCGCGACGCGGAAGTCGTCCACCGCGTTAAGGCAGACAGAGGGAGGGCGGCTCGCGGGCGATATTTACCTGGGACTGTCGCGCCAAGATCGGTGGCGCGACAGAACCTGCCATGTCACCGGTCAGCGCCCTGATCGTCGCCACGTCATCCCTCTCGCCGCGCCACCATGCATGGCGTGGCACAGACGTTTCGACGTGCCAGGGAAATAGGCGCGCGCAAAAGTGTTAGTTTTAGAAAAAAAAACAATGTTAGAATTAAAATTAGTTAATAAAAAGGGTTAAAAATAAAAAAAAATCTAGATAGATGGATAGATAGAGATAACGAAGGGCCCCACCCAATTGTGATGCATCGTGTGACAATGCCCGGTTACGTTGGGGGCTGCAGGATGGCTCGATCTATATGCAGCTATGAGATATATGCTGCGCGCATGGTCCCAAAACCCACATGCAGCAGGAACAGCTAGCTGCACCTGCGTGTCATATATAACGAAGAGGTAAATGCATCGTAGATCCTTGAACTTGTCTTCGGGTGTCACTTAGGTCCACAAACTCTCTAATTGTATTTCTAGCACCCTAATATTGTTTAAGTATATCACTTAGGTCCATAACTCATCGGAACACGATTTTAACCAACGTAGCGTGGACAGAACGCATGTGAGTCACGCGTGAGCCTGATTTGGGGCATCCAAATAAGCAGAGAGCCCCCAGTGCATTATATTCTCCCTTGTTGATTCATTTCGATTCTAAGGACGTTCCCGAATGAATTTGGTCGTGATGTGGATGCATGCATGCACACGTATGCAGGAACGGGTCGGACGCGTGGGGCTACTTCGTGTGGTCGTTCCTGGACGTGTTCGAGTTCATCTTCGCCTACAGGATGCGCTTCGGCCTGTGCGGCGTCGACATGAACGCCGGGGCGCGCACGCGCTACGTGCGGAGCTCCGCGCGCTGGTACGCCGGCTTCCTCAGCTCCCGACGGCATCAGGCCGTACGCCGCGTGACGTAATAAGGCCTCCCTCAAGCGACGACGGCGACAGCACATGCATTGTTGTTATCGTAGCACGCACGCCGAGGGCCGGTACCGGTGGGAAATAATCTAGCTGGTGAATGAATAACGCCTGGTTTAGTTTCACCCTAATTTTCAAAAAGTTGCTACAGAATCTGTCACATCGAATGTTTGCGGCCCGTGCATAGAGCATTAAATGTAGACGAAAAGAAAAACTAATTGCACAGTTTGGTGGGAAATTGCGAGACGAACGTTTTGAGCCTAATTAGTCCATGTTTGAACACTATTTGCTAAATAAAAACGAAGATGCTAAAGTAGCCCCAAAATCTAAATTTCGTGAACTAAACAAGGGCTAAGCAGATTCGCGTGCAGAGAGACGCGCGCTGTTACGTTGCTGTCTGATGTAACTATACACGAGTGACCGAGGTCATTCGATCGATCGGGGATAAAACATCGTGATAGACGACGACATGCGTTTTTACTGTGTCTGATGGGGCTATACACTAATGTAAACGAACCATCAATCTGGTATCAGATGCAAGTAAAAACGAAGTAGTAGTACTGTAGTACTAGCTTAGAGTACAAATTGGGATTTTTGCTGCTGTTTAAGTCACGAGTGAAGTCACGTTTTTTGTCGGCGATGGCTTGAATATTCGTATCCTAGTTGAAAACCTAGCAGCAGCTACTAGCGGCAGGTAGTCGAAAGTGACGCTGAGGCAGGGGAATTTGTACTCCGTCTTCTAGATAGATTCCTTGGTGAATATAAGTGAAGTCTCGATCAGAAAGAAACAACAGCGAGGACTGGACTAGAAACGCCCGACCGAGCTGGCTTCCTGTCTGTCTCTGGAAGAGACCGGGGGCGGCACCACCTGCACTGCACAATCGCCCGGTTCCTGTTCAGTGTTGACACGTGGACGACAGCGACGATATGCAGGGACGGCTGAGCCGCTGAGGTCTGAGGCTCGATACACTTGCACGCGCGGGTACACGTACGTTTCATCCGCGCCGCCGATCGAGCAAAAGCAAGGGCCAAGGCGGCCGACGCGCGCACGAGAGGACGGACGGCAACGCAATGTACGATGTCGCCACGTGCAGAGCCGCTAATAACGAACCCGGGTGGGGCGGGCAGGAGCCAGGAGTAAAGAGACCTCTCCGCGCGACGTCAGCGACTACGTCCGCGCCACGGGGTCACGGGGCGGAATGTCCTACAGCCTTTTCGAGGTGCCGTATCGTATCGTGGATTATTTATGGCTAATTTGGTATGAGAGAAAAATACTATTTTCGACTAGAAATTTACGATTATTTACGAGCAAGCGAACAAGCTTACGGCCGGCCCCGACCCACGCTCAAATATATAAAACCACACCCCCCCGCGAGCGCGGCCGGCCGGCGAACAAACAGATAGGACACCCACTGAGGCTGGCCGGAGCGCTCGGGGCTTTCTGCTTATTTGCACGTCCTAAATCAGGTTCATGTGCGTTCTGTCCACGCCACGTCGGCTAAAACCTTGTTTCAATAAGTTTTGAACCTAAGTGACATACTTAAACAACATTAGGGTACCAGAAGTACAATTAGAAAGTTTGTGGACCTAAGTGACATTCGAAGACAAGTTCAAAGACCTGCTATGCATTTACCTCTATAACAAATTATTAAAGGACATGAGTGATGAGAGAGATAGAAAGAGTGCGAGAGGAGCTGGCATAGTGCATGCGCGGAACAGCATAAGGCCAGGTTGCAGGCAGCAGGCGGGCCGGGGCTCCTCAGCTCCTAGCTGCTCGGATGCATGCTAATGTCTGTTTGTACATGCATGTGCTGTGTGCAAGTGTGCATGCATGGTAATAGGTGCGAGGCAATGCAAGCTGCAATGCATTTTACCTTTGTTTTTGTGCACAGGCCAGGGTATATATACGGTAGTCCACACCGTACTTGCAAGAGCAAGTATAATAGTAGGTTGTAAGCTCGCTAAATGCTGATGTGGAGGAGAGATGAGAGGAGAGAGAGTAGAAGCGGGCTATAAGCTTACAGCTGGTTTAGACACAAGAATAAAAAAACTTTATGAGAAAGATAAATAGGCCATGTATTAATAATAAAAAGCTAACTACTATATTGATGGGCTAAGAAAAGCTATCTGCAAAAAAAAAACTTTGCATTCAGCGGTCGACCGTATTATTAGCCTTGCTTTTACACAACTACCGCATGTATTGCAGTTGGGGCATTTTTTACTTTTAATCCAGCAGTCAGTCTACTACTATGTAGTGTAGGACATCATTAGAGACAAGCTAGCTAGCTGCACAAGGAGCAGCGCACGCACCCTTAGCTTGTTCATTTCGCGCGCATGCACTCACTCCTAAATGTATTGATGCATTGTATACTTCTCGGGACTACCGATCGGCAGTCATGCATATTATATTCATGGATATACTCCATGTTGCAAGCAGATCGAATTAGCTAGCTAATGATAGTACTTAAGCTAGTAGTATATATGTATGGTAGGGATCGAGCCGGCCAGCTGTAGAAGGCATGGGTAGCTTTTGCATTTGCACGCCACCGACCAGCGGTAGCCAGCTAGCTAGTAGCTAGTAGCTAGAGCTCTTCGATCTTCATCCACCACAGCAGAGTCGTCCACAGTCCACACCGGCCGGCCTGCACTGCAATGGCGGCGCCTGCTGCATCAGCAGAGGCGGTTCTTCTTCTCCTAGTATTATTATTGGTACTCGCCGCGGTGGCGCTGAGATGCGGCGATGCGCTGAGCCTGGATTTGTACGACGAGAGCTGCCCGGAGGCGGAGGCGGCAGTGACGGCGGCCGTGCGGCAGGCCATGGCCAACGACCGCACCGTGGCGGCCGGGCTCCTCCGAATGCATTTCCACGACTGCTTCGTCAGGGTACGTAGGTCCATCGATCTCTCTCCTTGCATGCATTGCATTGCTCTGCTGTCTCGATCTGAAATCCGGCAGGCCGGCCGGCAAATATAATGGCATGCACGCTGACGACGCAGGGCTGCGACGGCTCCGTTCTGCTGGACTCGACGGCCAACGTGACGGCGGAGAAGGACGGCCCGCCCAACGTGTCGCTGCACGCCTTCTACGTCATCGACAACGCCAAGCGGGCCGTGGAGGCCCTCTGCCCCGGCGTCGTCTCCTGCGCCGACATCCTCGCGCTCGCCGCAAGGGACGCCGTCGCGCTGGTATGTACTTGTACTCATGTAAAGATGCTGCTGCTGGAGACCGCCGTACTATGACTATGGGAGAGATCCAGCTGATGTAGTACTAGCTAGCTATAGTTACTAGCTAGAGGGTATATACTAGTGCGTAGTGGTTGGGTATGTACTAGTACAATGTAGGAGTAGTACAGTACTTAGCTTGCATGCATTGGGTGGGTATAGTATATACTACGTACTCCGCTAATTAACACCGGCTGGTAGGAGGTGTTTGGATTGATAGGCTAAAGTTTAGCCCTCGGCACGTCAAATATTCGTAGCAGATTAAATATGAGCTAATTATAAAACTAATTGTAGAGGCTCTGCGCTAATTCACGAGACGAATCTATTAAGCATAATTAATTCATCATTAGCAAATGTTACTGTAGCACCGTATTATCAAATCAAAATCATGGACGGATTAGGTTTAATAAATTCATCACGAGAATTAACCTCTATCCGTGTCATTAGTTTTGTAATTAGCCTGTGTTTTCGTGCTATGAAGTCTGAACGAACCAATGCAACGATCGAGTCACGTGCTTGCGTCTCTAGCTACTACACTACTGTAGTACTGCTGCTGTTCATCGAGCTGCATCGACCGAGCTGTCTTAACTTGTCGTAACGTGCTCGGAGTCTCGCTCTCGCTCAGGCTCGATGTGTCTCCATCCTCGACCAACAGCACAGGTGCGTGCGGCTGCCCCGCATGCATGCAGATGCAGCCAGCAGCCAGCAGGGTGGGTGTCACTCACTCTGTTCTGTTGTCGTACGTGCACTCACTCATGCTGCGTACATGATCTGGGCCTAGTTTAAAGTTTAGATTGCAAGTTTTTTCACTCTTTTTCTATCACATCAAATTCTTAGACATATGCATTGAGTATTAAGTGTAGATAAAAAAATAACTAATTACACAGTTTGATTGTAAATTACGAGATGAATCTTTTGAGCCTAGTTAGGCCATAATTAGACAATAATTATTAAATACAAACGAAAATGCTACAGTGTCAAATACTAATTCCTAACTCTAATCTAAACAAGACCCCGACAGATTATTTGCATTACTATTGCATTTATTACTTGCTAGTAGACTCCTACTACTTGCTGTTGCTGACCATCGAGCACGCACGTACGCATGCAGTCCGGTGGTCCGTGGTGGGTGGTGGCCGTGGGGCGGCGGGACGGGCGCGTGTCCCTGGCCAACGAGACGACGGCGCTGCCGGGGCCGACGGCCAGCTTCGAGCAGCTGAAGCAGGCGTTCCACGGCCGCGGGCTGTCCACCAAGGACCTGGTGGTGCTGTCGGGCGCCCACACGCTGGGCTTCGCGCACTGCTCCTCCTTCCAGAACCGCATCCGGCTCCAGGGCACCGACGCCGCCGCCGACCCTTCCCTGAGCCCCTCCTTCGCCGCCGCCCTCCGCCGTGCGTGCCCCGCCAACAACACCGTCCGCGCCGCCGGGTCCGGCCTGGACGCCACCTCCGCGGCCTTCGACAACACCTACTACCGGATGCTGCTGGCCGGCCGGGGCCTGCTCTCCTCCGACGAGGCGCTGCTCACGCACCCCAAGACGTGCGCCTTCGTCGCGCTCTACGCCGCGTCGCAGGAGGCCTTCTTCAGGGCCTTTGCAAAGTCCATGCTGCGGATGGCCGCGCTCAACGGAGGCGACGAGGTGCGAACCAACTGCAGGCGCGTCAACTCATCATGATCCGGCCCATCCATAGCCTATATATATTGTGTCTCTTCTTGGATTGGATTGGTTAGATATACATTGCTGCTGCTGTCTGTACCATTCGTATGTGTTTGATCAATCGTCGACCCAAGCTAAGCCGGCCCATATGGAATGGCCTGGGCTGGAATATAAATAAAAACTACTACTACTACTACTATTTCAAAAAGTTCAGCGCCGCCGTTACCTCTGCTAACCAAACTCTTGCGTCGCCTTTGGGCCATCCGGTACGCGCGGCGTCAGTTCGAGAACAACTTCCAGGTTCCGTTTTCCGCGAACAGTTTTGTGGAGCGATTCATTAGCGAATTGGAGATGATCAAGCCGAGCACCAAGCAGCCGCTGGTGGTCGGTGATCCAGCACTGCGATGGATCAAGCCACCAAGGGTTTTTGGGGTTTTGCGAAGGTTAATGTGGACACGGCGATCTCCAAAAATTCAATCAAGGCCTCGGCAACGGCCGTGGTCAGGGACGAGGATGGTAATTTTCTGTGCTGCGTTGGTCCTAGAGGGCTACGCCGACCCGGGAAATAGCCGAGGTGGTAGCGTGCCACGAGGGCCTGGCTTTGGCCAGTGACTTGGGCCTCCAAACTCTCTAGACGGCGAGCGATTATGTCAATGCAGTTGCAAGCATCCATGGTGAGGATTTCAGGAGGTACGGGCCAATCGTCCTGGAAATCGAGAGCCGGACGGGAAGCTTCACAAGGGTGGAGTTTGTTCAGGAAGGTAGACGCCCCACTCTTAATGTTCATTGTCTAGCTAAGAGTTTTATAAACTTTTTGATAGGAAGACATGCTTGGTTTATTGCTCCTCCTGGAGTTTGTACTAGCTATCCTGATGAATAAAGAAGGGTGATGCTTTGCTCAAAAAAATAAAAAAAGAAAGTCGTACTAATCTTAAAGCAAACCCCACATTAGATCTGTGGCATGTACATATATATGGCCCTTATGGGGGCCTAATGCAAAGCAGCCCTATTATGCAACAAAAATATATGTAAGGTTGCTCAAAAAAAATGGGGAGCGCTGGCGCCCGGACGTCCGATGGATACCGATCCATCGGACGGTTCCATGGATGCAAGCCCAGCACATAGCCCGTGTACCGAACGGTCCAGAAATCTCGCTTCCCTTTCTTCCCGTCGCGTGCTGCTCCAGTCGATCGTGTTTCTTCCCCGCCGCGCGCGCCGCCCGAGCACGGCTTCTTCCGCGCCGCGCCGCTCGACAATCGTTGCAACAATAGATCCCCAGTGTCTCACCTACTGCAACAAATCAAGTTTCCCCCAGAGAATCATCCCTATGCACATCGCCCACCCCAATCGTTGCAAACGATTCGGTGGATTTGTTCAAGCAGACTCATGGAGGAGGTGCTTCTCGTAGCAGATTACCAGTTCGTCGATTAGATGGAGATCTCACAACTGCCAATTCTAGGAGCGTTCCCATATCTGTTCATGGTGTGGCTGAGGTAAGATCTACGATTTTCAGCTTCTTCCGACCTATACTTGCAATAGTGGATAGTTCCTTGTTCTTATCTGTAGCAGACTGTATGCATATTACCATTTGCAACAGAGTATTATAGAACGTGAAACATCTACTTATGCAGTTTACAACATGGGGTGTAAAGCAGGATGACCTTGAATTTATGATGTATTTACTGTGTTCATTTGATCTAGTCCATGGTTGCTTGTCATCGTGTTTGTACCAAGGAAACATAGAATTATAGCACGTGAAACATCTACTTATGCAGTTTGCAACATGGGGTATATGGAGGATGTAAATAGTGCCAGCATGCAACAGCAAACATTTGTTGGATTGCCACAAAATGCCACAAGCTCGAGCAATAACAATTGTAGTCACACAATTGTTCATACATCACGTGGAATTGTTGCTGAAGTAAGATCTTTTTACTACATCAAGTATTGTTTCATTAGTTTCCTTTATGGAGGGTTGTCGGGGACTAATAGTAGGGTACCCGAAGAGGAGGAGCTAATGGCCATCAACGTTGATTCATCCGCGCGATCGAGAGCATGACTACACCACTCGCCGGGTCACTCCTTGTTCGTCGACCGAGACCATGGGCCCCGCCTCGAGCTGGCTCCCGAGGGCCAGCTCCTCTTCGCCCGACGTCTGAGGGCAGACTCTATCTCGCTCGACCCCCGGGGCCCGACGTCTGAGGACAGACTCCGCCTCACCTGATGTTCGGAGGCTGAGTCTGCCTCGCCCGACATCTGAGGGCAGACTCCGCCTCGCCCGACGTTCGGAAGCTGGCTCCACCTCGCCCGACGTCTGAGGGTAGACTCCGTCTCACCCGACCTCTGAGGGCTAGCTCCGCCTCACCCGATGTCTGAGGACAGACTCCGCCTCGCCCAATGTTCGAAGGCTGGCTCCGCCTCGCCCGATGTCTGGGGGCTGGCTCAGCCTCGCTCGACGTCTAAGGGCAGACTCCGTCTCGCCCAATGATCGGAGGCTGGCTCTACCTCACCCGACGTCCGGGGGCTGGCTCTGCCTCACCCGACATATGAGGGTAGACTCCGCCTCGCCCGACATTCGGAGGCTGGCTCCGCCTCGCCCGACGTCTGGGGCTTGGCTCCACGTCGCCCGATGTCTATGCACTGTTCCTTCATAACTATGCACGCGGATAAGGCAGGGCACTCAAGTCAACCGCAATACCGAGGACCATACCCTGCACGCATGTAGGAAAATACCGTCAGGATATGACAGGACGTGCGCTTTAAGCCCTTCCTGGCATGTTAGAACCCGAACAGTATTGTTGGCGCTGATATTTGTCTTACAGTGTTGTGGGCGCCGCCCTTTGCCCTCGGGTGTGGATCCTAATGGAAGAATACGACAACCACTATGGTCCAGGAGAAGACTCGCATCCTCTACAGTGATGGACATGCGGATGATGCGGTCACTGCGCCGTCCGCTCCTCGTAGGGTCACGGATCAACACCCTGGTCTGTCACGCCGCCTGCCGGGACGGGATGGGACGGGACGTGATCACTTGCTGATCAAGCCAGAGCATGACATCATCAACGGACAGACGCCCAGCATGGAGCTATCCCTAGCACTGTCTTCTGTGTCAGCCGGGCTCGCTCAGAGGAAAAGGAAGACCTGGCACCTTCGAAGGACCTTCTTTGCCTCTGGTTTTTCTTCTTTCTCCCATCTGTAATCCTTGCTTCCCCTTGGTCTATAAAAGGGAAGGCAGGGCACCCCACTAAAGAGGAGGGAAACCAAAAATATAACACACCACACATCACATAACACATAGCTGAGCAGCAACAAAGCTCTTAGCGTCCTTTCAACCTTTTCATCAGAGACTTGGGATCTTTCCCTCTCTCGCCCGTTTGTAACCCCTACTATGAACTTTTTGGTGCTAATAACACGAGCAACAGCCATGAACTGGACGTAGGGATATTCTGCCCGAACTAGTATAAACCTTGTCTTTTAGCACACCATCCGGGTCCAACACGTAATAATACAAATTTACTCGTTGGTGTTTACTTGAAACACCGACAGTTGGCGCGCCAGGTAGGGGACCTTTGCGCGTTCCGACATTAACATCAGGCCATGGATGGCTAGCCACGGAATCAGCTGGGTCCTAGGCGCACATGTGCGCTTCGATGACCTAGACTTCATTGTCATGGTGGGAGGAGAGTTGGCATTGGCTCACGCCGCCATCCAACCTCTCCCCTCCATCGGCCTCAACTACGGGAGGCTTGAGCGCTGGCTCGGCGTCTTCCTAGGACCCTAGCCGTTCCAAGAGGACCCACGCCACCTCATCTTCTCTGATGCCACCGACACATCGTGGCTCGTCGGAGGAGAACCCCTCTCTCCAGAACACCCCACACGGAGTGCCCCGACAGTGCTTTCGTTCGGTCTCCGCAACGCCGCAGCGACCGCTAGCGACCTTATGGCACGACGCATGGTTTCACCGCCCACGAACAACGAGTTCATGGGGATGATCGAACATGTCACGGAATCTTTCCACGACCTCCTAGCAGAAGAGCTAGAGTCGCACTCTGGCTCTAATTCCAGCAGGGGAAGACACCACCCCTCTCGTGAATGCTTCATGACGGGTACCCCCGAGGGGCACGTCGAAAGCGTCCACAAGGGGGAGGCTACCCCAATAAACGGCCTCGACGATGAGGCCGAGAGGGAGACTATGGCCCCGTGCACGAATGCTGGTGGAACAACTGAAAGCCTGACACCGAGAGATCGAGGAAGCACGACTCCAGCTCGAGCAGGAATGCGCGGAGCTCGATCGGGAGATCGAGTGCCGCGAAGACGGTGGGCGCGCCTGCGCCATGGCCTGCGACATGAACTAGAGGATCATCACCGATGATGAAGCCCTCCCTCACTTTGTCTGGGCAAGCCAAAACATCGCCGCTACGGTGGCCTTGCTCCACGACCTTCTAGAAGCCGCGATGCCATTGGATCGTCGGGTGCACCACGAGATTCACACACTGCTCGAGCGTGTGGCGGCGTAGCAGGCCAAAAGCTCATTGTCTCGGCGACGTGAGCTCGATGCTAGCCAGCACACGTCCTTGGAGCGTCCCGTCAGGTATGCATCGGTCCACCAGGAACCACAAGGAAGTAGGCAGCACACCGTGGTCCCGGTGCGTCAGCGTCTCACCGCAACTGTGACACGTGCAACATCCTCGACGCCCGCAGACACGCCTACAACGACCTAAGAGAGGGAGCCAGACGCGGCTATCACCCTCATCATGGTGGACACTACGACAGCGGCGAGGACTGAAGCCCGAGCCCCGGCCTGCCGGGGCCTCAGGCCTTCGGTCGACACATCCTCAACGCTGCCTTCCCACCAAGGTACCGACCACCAACCAATATCTTGAAGTATTCTAGGGAAACAAACCCCAAACTATGGCTTAAAGACTATCGGCTTGCCTGCCAAGCCGGTGGTGCGGATAATGACGACTTCATTATCAGCAACCTTCCATTGTTCTTGGCCAATTCGATAAGAACCTGGT